TGAATGTTGGGCTTGTCCTGTGCAGGGACAGGAGTTGGACTGGATGATCCTTGTGGGTCCCTTCCAACTCACAGCATTCTGTGATCCTATGATTCTATGATCCAGGGCTGGGGCTAAAGGCTGAGGTTTCTGTCTTCATACAGAAGGTCTCTTGACAAGTAGCATTTGCAAAACACACAGTACCTCCTGCGAGAGCCACATTCCACTGCTGGTCTTTGATCACTGGGTCTGTTAATATAGAAGAGATTCAAGTTTTAATTTTAACCAGTGGAACATTTGAACCTGGCCATGGGTAATCAGTCACACAAACCCGTGTCTGGCTTTAACCAAGTGACATGTTTTCTGTAAGTTGACTAGGCTCCATTAACTCCCTTAACTCTTTGCAGGTTGCACGCCGTGTTCCAAGACAGGCCAAATTTTTGCAGAGGCTGGTATGTATCACACTGTGTCTTTATTTTACCTCATGGGAATCACACTTTCTCTATGTATATATGTTCATGCATCCCTGTGCCCAGGAATGAATTATGTCAGTGGGTGATGGTAAAGTGAGATTCTAGGTAAAAAAAAAATAGTCTTCATTTTGATCAATGCAACAGGTACAAGTTCTTCTAATACTTCCCAATACATTTTCTCAACCCCAAGATTTGGAGACACAACACCCAAAAACCTCATCCATACAGTGAATGTAAGCCTGATGAAATCTCATTGAATTTTGAGAGAAAGGGAGATTTTGCTTTGAAGATCTCGGTTGTTTGAAGATCTCTGTTGTTCTCTGTTGATGGCCAATATTTTCTGAAGAAAGGAAGAAAACGAGGAAGCCAATATTCTTCTTTCAGCCTGGGTACCTAAGCTTTAAGATGTTCAACTGCAATTGTGAGATGTACAGCAAATCAGTGAGATCTGGTTAAATTTCTGCAGTGAGAGTTGCACAGCTTAGAGGCAGCCAGTGAAATTGCTGTTCATGGCCACCCATTTTTCTGGCTTTTCTGAGGAATAAGAACTTCCCAGTTGAGAACCGGAGGAACTCATTTCACACACTGAGCAATCATCGTGTGTTAATAGCTTCTGGTCCCTTTGATCTTTGACAGATTTGATCAGCCTAGACTCTCAGTCTTATTACTCATTTATTACTTCTAATCTGAGATACGGTCAATTTGTTTTGATGAAAACAACTGATAAAGGTAAAAACATGAAGTGTATTTCATTGATCTTCAGCTCTCTCCTGTCTTTCCAAACTTTTGATGTAAACAAGCATAAAATCATTTGATTGGCAAGAAAATTTCTGCTCTCAGTTCATCATAATCACCGGGACACCTTCATAAAGCATCCAGCCAACCTGCCTCATAGCAGTGCACTAATTTGCCACCTTGGCGTTCCCTAGCTTGACTTTTAATAGGGATAATAAATCGCAGTAATAATAATAATAATATTAAACAAATGGTTTGTTTTGGTTTTTTCCTTTGTGCTGCCTCTCGTGTTCTGAAGGCCTTGATAAAAAGTGGAGAAAACAAGCAGGCATTTGCACAGCTGTAAGTCAGAGCATCAGGCACTGATGGATTGTGCAAGAGCTCCAGGGAATGCACAAGAATTGCAGACTGGAACTTGGGCTGCCCGCCAAGCCTGATCTAGCAACCTGTCTGGAAACTGCCTCTGCCCCCACCATTTATACTTTCTATATACAAGGAATGGCAGATCCCTTCCAGGGATGGGAAGATGAATCAGGTCTTTCATCCTCAGTTGTATGTGATGCCCTTATTCAGTGTTTGCTTTTTCCAGCAGCAACTCCTATCCACCAGGAAGAGGGAGAGGTGTTGAATGTCTTTTGTTCATTTGTTTGTGCCGTTCCTCAATCTGTGAGGATATCAGAGCTGGAGCTTGTTCAGTGAGATAGAGAGATATGACAGAGATCAGTTGAAACCAGCAAATAGTAGATTAATAAAATAACCCCCTAAGCAATGTGGTTCTTCATATAAAATATCATTAAGCTGTGTTAACTCCTTGCTAAAAGGTGTTGCGGAGGCTAAAAGTTTACATGGATTCAAAAAGTAGCTGTGTAAAGTCATAGAAGAAATATCCACAGAGGTTTACTAAACACAAAAATACCACCCTGGGTTCAGGAATTCCTTCAGCCACATATTGCTGAAAACAGAGAGAATATTTCTGGGTAGTTCCAGTGCAGGTTGGTCTGACTTTACACTCTTCTCTAAGCATGCACTGTTGATCTCTGCCCTTGATAGGCTGCAGGGTTAGAATTGCTTTTGTTCTCACCCAGTACAACCATCTTTATGTTCTTGTCATAACAAGGCTAAGTCCGTGTCCTCTGTCATATTCTAAAGACTTTCTGACTTCAGATAAATCCATCATCGCATTCAGAGTGTTAGACTGTCAAATCTCTCACTGCAGAACCAACTTGTATCTCAAGTAAAAGGCAAAGGGCTTGATCCTCTTTCGCTGCTGAGCTGTCCACCATGTTTGGACTCACAGCTTATGATAAAATGCAGAACATGGGAGTAGATGCAGGACATCTGGAACCAAAGCATTTGCTGTAGTTTCAGATTCTTTCTTTTATTTCTGTTGTTAAATCCTCTATATCTCCTGCTATGCCACAGGCAATTAGTGGTATGGAAGACTGAATGAAACATCAGCTCATTGTATCTGGAAACGTTCCTACAACACTACTTCTGATCAAAACTTCCCGTCCTTTCTGCCTTCAGGATAATGAGACTGGAAAGCCATGCCTATGTATCAGGGAAGGTCCTAAGAACAACAGGATCTAGTTCTAATCGACAGTGACTGAGTAAAAGCCACTAGTGGCCTAAGGGGTTGGCATTAGATCTGAGCGGATGTGTTCTAGTCTAGATCCGTGGCACTGAGATGTCTGAAATCAGTGAGATGAATCACACCCTAGAAGTGCTAATTCCTTGCCTTTGTGAGCTGAAGCACAGGATGACCATGAACACAGAGCACATCAGACATTTTTCAGCTGTTAAAGATATCTAACACACTATCACAATTAGGTTAATTGGAGACACATTCATCAAGATCTTTCCAAGTCTGGAAAACATAGACAGATGTGGCTTTATTTCCAAGTTTATTGATGTTTTTGTGTTTGTTTCCAGTAGATCCTCATTCTTCCATTGCATAGAATTCCCTAGCCCAGCAGCTCGGTTATTTGGATGCTCACTTATTACTTCTTCTGATGCCATCAGCTACTGCTGAAATGTTCTTGTTTCATACTTGCTCATTCAACCACTTGCTCCCTATGTTAAGCCATTTGTCAAAATTATTTTTGTTCAGAAAAAAAGTCTGGACATGTAGCTGAAGTGGGTGTTCTTGTCTTCACAAGTCTGATGTCGCTGTGACTTTTTATCAATCTCCATCGGAAGAATCTCAGTTTATTTGGCTTAGTGAAGTTACTCTGTATTTGCAATGTATTTTACTCTCTAGCTTCATTCTGCTTTTGAAGGTTTGGTCTTTGTTAAGGCAACATACAGATTTTTTTTTTTTTATTTGTTTTTTTACATGGACTGCTTATAGTTAAATACACTGAAGTCTTCCAGGAATAAAATTGTTGAGCTCCATGGAGATGTTGCTGTTAAAAAATCACGTTAGACTGGAGAAATGCTCCAATCTGGGACTTGTGCAAAAAAACCACATTCCCAAGAAGCAGAAATTGGCTTTCAGTTTCCATTGCTACATCATGTGTCGTTCACTGCAGTCTCTGCTTCTTCTCTGCTGGAAAGAATCCAGTGTGGGCTAAAAGTCTTAAAATATTTTACTTGAGATGTCACGGTGTCAGTGTTTCTTATTAAATCTATTCCATCCATTGGCTGAGACCTCCAGGATGGATTCTCAGCAGAGAAGGACTCAGTTTACTTCATTGACAGCTCACTTACAGATCTGATTGTATGAATTTGAAGATGCTGCTTCATACACAGTGATTTCAGTCTTTCGAGAGATCTTACATCTGGTCTTGTGCACAGTTCACTGGGCAGTTTCTCTGACATCAGTTTTGAACCCTATGGGGACATATTTTGGGTTTCTCTTCCCAGGCCATAAAGGACTAATCCTGATCCTCTCACATGGTCAGAGTTGAAGGGTGAAGTTTAGGATACAGGTGGATTTTATCAGTGTGTGTCACAATGTAAAGGCTGGCATAATGAGAGCTCTCACCTTGCCTGGGCCCTTCAAGAACTGGGGAGTGACTGTGGCCTTTGCCCTTGTGCATGAACAAAGGCAGTGACACATCTCTGATTTACCTTTTGCAGCTCACCTGAAATTTTGAGGGCAAGCCCACCTTGCCTGCTGTTGAATGTTTTTCATAGGGAGTCTAATACTCATAGGGTGGTTATTTGCTTGAGCATGCTAAGTATTAAACCCAGTAAAATACTGAAGTGGGGAGATATCCAGCTGTCAGTGTTAATAGGTAACCTTTTGATACCTACAGGAAACCAGGCCTCGGATGTCTGAATTCACTGTGAAATCCACAATCATTTCTCGGTATGCTTTCACCACAGTGTCATGCACAATGGTGAACAGCGGATCCGAGGCACGTGAAGCTGTGTTTGAGATGCAGATCCCAGCTGCAGCCTTCATCTCCAACTTTACCATGTAAGTAAGTAATGCTGACACTTGGGTGGACAATGGCTCTCTCATCTCACAGATAGCTCTCTGAGATTTCAAAAACTGGCTAACCTGCAGCAGGACTGTGTCAAGGTCTTTTTGCATTTCTTTGTGAAAAATAAAACCACACACGTGATATACTCCATCCAAGACTGGTCATGGCCTCAAAGCACAGAGCAAGTCCTTGGATGACAGGATACTAAGAGTCAAGTCCTCAGTGTACATGGGGAAGAAAATTATTCTATTTCTCATCTGAGTGTCTTTTAACAACTTCCTTCTCCTCCTCTCTCTTTCATTTGTAACAAGAAATCTCTCCTAGCCCTCAGAAACCTTTCCAATTAAAGTTTCAGCAACTTTAACTAACTGGCACATGATAGTTATCTCACCTAGTTGACTGTGGTGCCCAAGAAACTCCTTGTTATTCCAAGTTCTCCATACTGTCAATGGAGGAGGAGAATTAACTCCAACTAGCAGATAGGTTCACTTGCTGCTGCAGGTGCGAGTCATTCTCTGTGGATAACAGAGTTAAGTAGAGGGCAACCAAGCTCATACTGAAATGACTCACTAAGGAATAAATTAAGCTCTTGGTTTCAAAACCATGTTTGGTTTGGTCATGCTCAGATCCTCTCTATGGGTTGATATTGGGACCATAACTTCAGACCTGACCATAGCAGACAGGGGACCTGCTCCTTTAGAAAGATTTCTATTTGGACTGAATAGGAGGAAAAACAGTCTTTTGCCTTTGGTCAGACAAAATTTAAGTTAAGGGCTGTTTCCTTATGGAAACTATGGCTCTGTAACTCATTCCCAGAGAGAAGCATTTTAGTCATGGAGGCAGCTACTTGCGAGCAGTCATCCTGAAGGTCACCATGTGTATTGACACAGATGGTGGACCTGAGACCAGACCAAAAAAAAAAAAAAAAGAACTTATTGGGATTCCTGGTAGTTGCTTTGCTTTCTGCTTTGGAGATTTCCTACTGAACTGGCATTTTAGAGGGGTAAACTCCTGGACTAAAAATGTACTTTGCTGGTATAACCAGTCAGGGAACTTCTACGTCAGCTTGTGTTTTGGTGACTCAAATGGACTCTAGGAGAGTTACCCCAGCAGCACACTTAGCCTGTTCACATGTGCACAGTCTGTGAACCCTTCTGCAGCAAGCTGTACAGCTGTCACTGTATGTGGGTGCAGAGTGGTCATGCTGACATCTCTGATCTCTCCAGGAGCATTGGCAACAAGACTTATTATGGAGAAGTCACAGGGAAAGAAAAGAAACATAGCAGTGATGACAAAGCAAGGCACAAGAAACCTCCGAGCCCTACAGATGGAAGGTAAGTATCATGCATTTGTCTGTGTTCTGGGAAGCAAGATACTCTTGTCCCATCTTTATTTAGGCTTCTTTGGCATACCCATCCATGGATTTACAGGAAGAAAGGACTGAATAGAATGTTATTCACACTGTGTGGTGTGATTCCCATACTCCAAGTCATGTAAAATTGTATGTGGCCTTTTCTAGCCCTATTACACATCCAAAATGCTCCAGGATGTACTTGAGAGGGAAATAAATCTTTTCTATTTCCTGAATATCAGGCAGGAAAACTAAGGCAAACAGAAATTTAATGAGATAAAACTTCAAGACTACAAAGTTAGCCAGTGGTCAAACCACAGGAAGTATTTTGCAATCGTGCTTACTTGCCCTCCTTGGCTATATTTAGTCCTTTTGGCCAAGCAGTGGCAGAAAGTCTCATCACTTTAATAATCTTAAACCCTATGTGTTCATCTGAAAGCACATTTTCAGCATTATTATTTTCCCCCTTCTAATTTCACCCAAATAGCTCTTAAAGATATGCACTGTTGGATGGATTTTGCTGTTCTGGAAATTCCTGCACTATTCCCAGTTACCTGGAACAGTAGCACTGTTCCAACATGAACACATGGTCAAGAACAGCTAAATAGACTTAAGATTTTTAGAGCAGAAATATGATGAACTGTGGAGACAGAGGGGTCTGACAGAGATCTGAGCTCATGGGTGGTATGTGGAAGGAAAATAAGAAATATGTATTTTCTGTCTTTTATAGAAAAACTAGGGAAAATGGAATGAGATGATCAGATGTCAGGTTCAAAATGGCCCAATTGAGATACTCTTCACAAAAATTTTGTATCTTGCCACTAGAAATTGTGGATGCGAAATGTAATGTGGGTTCAAAAAGTGACTAGATTAATTTTTGGTAGGAAAAATCTATCAGGAACCTTTAGCAAAGTAGGCAGCCTGTGGATCCAAACGCAGACTGGCAGAACCTGAAAGAGTTCTTGAAACAATATATTTCTTGAAACAATATATTTCTCTTGTCATGCCCCTTTGCATCCTCTTCTATAGGTAATCACTACCCGTCATTTTTAGACCACTGGTATGACCCAGAGATGTCATTCCAACTGTCCCAAAGGCTAACATAAAAAAAATAAAAATAATCTTTTTATATGTGTTAGATAAATCAAAGTCTCAAATCTTTTTCAGTACTCACTGGATTGTGGACATCACCAAATCTCACATCAGTGAGTCCTGAAGTTATCCCTATATGGCATTAAAAGTTTCCATTCTTGTTATGTGGTGTTTTTATTTTCCTTTCACAAATAGCAGTGCCTGGCATCATATCAGTGTGTGCTAGCTGGACACTACAGTGCCCTGTGTGGAAGGTTGATTATCTTAAGTTATCTGTTTAACAGAAGGGCAGCCAAAGCCAATAAAGGCTAAAGGTGGGAATTCATCTCACTTCAAATTAGTGAAAAGAAAGCTGACTGTCAGTTGTACACTGAGTGACTGACGGCACACTGTTGTCAATCAGAAGAGAAGAGTCCTTTTAGAGAAGAGTCTGGTGGTAGAATTGTCTTAGGGGTTCTATTTCTCCCCATTGAGTATGTAGCTGTAAACAGCTGATATTAGAGAAGAGGAATTCATTTGTACTTTGCTTAAAATACTGCGAAGAGTCAACAGTGGCAAAGTCAAGAATTAAATATGGGTCTTGCAAACCCTCTGTGCAAGAAATCAAGAGACAGCCTTTCCTCTGGCCCTACTCCATGTTATTCATAGAATCATAGAATCATAGAATGGTTTGGGTTGGAAGGGACTTTGAAGATCATCCAGTTCCAACCCCCCTGCCATCAGCAGGGACACCTTCCACTAGACCAGGTTGCTCAAAGCCTCATCCAGCCTGGCCTTGAACACTTCCAGGGAGGGGGCATCCACAGCTTCTCTGGGCAGCCTGTTCCAGTGTCTGACCACCCTCACAGTGAAGAACTTCTTCCTAATATCTCATCTAAATCTCCCCTCTTCCAGCTTAAAGCCATTTCCCCTTGTTTTGTCATTAACTGCCCTTATGAAAAGTCCTTCCCCAGCTTTCTTGTCTGTCATATTCCTCTCCACAAGAAATCAGCTCTTCTTTTAAGACCTTTCCTCCAGGGGGAAACTCCTACATGCCCAATGCTTTATGAAGCATTAGGATACTTTCTTTCTTGCTGGTTTCACATATTCAATGATAAGAAACACTTCTATTGCACCAACAAAATCCAGATTAATCAGTCACTGAAGGAGGCGGTGTGTGATATGTATGGGATATGAAGGTGTCTTTGGATTTTCCTTCCAGGGAGAATGGCTATGAGACATTCAAAGCTTCTGTATTCATTCCTCGCAAGATGCAGGCCAGGTTCCTACTGCATTATGAAGAGCTTTTGCAAAGGCGACTGGGAAAATACGAGTATACAGTCAGCATCCGGCCCCAGCAGCTGGTGGGCAGGTTACGAGTGGAGGTCAACATCCTGGAGAACTCAGGAATAGTTTCACTGGAAGTGCTCCCACTTCGAAACAGCAAGCATAAAGGCAATGGTAAAGTTGAAGGTAAGGAGACATCTTATCACCCATGGTTCTGTTGGACATTAATCGCTTGTCAAAAAACTGGACTGGCAATGTTGGGGGTTCTCCAAGGCAAGTTTTGATAATTGTGTAGGCTGGTGTTTCACTCACTTTCCCTCTGCTCCAAACGAGGCACTAAACAAAACCCCAACATTGTATTAAAGCAGCATTGTCTGGGATCAGGGCTATATTAGAAACTAGAGGACACATCTCATGAAGACAACAAGAAAAATGAATGCTAGCAGCTCATTAGGCATCAATTATTCTGCCAAATTCCAACTATTTAGAAAGACTTTATTTAGCAAGATACATTTTTTACTTTCCCTTCTTAACTCTTGCTGCACTTCACTGTATGACAGGTACATCCCACCCCAGAGGTGGCTGCATTTGCGTGACAAGCGTGTCTCTAAGCATTGCAGGCCATCAGCAATTCTTATTTAGAGATCTCTCATTCCCTGGCAGCGCAATCTCCAGGTTCATGAAAACTGGTATAATGGCTACAATGTGAAAGGGATTTCAGGATTATGAACTTTGTGAGGTTCAGTGGTGGGAATTCAGTCTTACCATAAAGGCTGATGGCTTTTGTTTTGTTTTCTATAGATGGTTCTATCTATGTGTGCATAAGCATGTGAGAACTTTGAAGCTTAATGAATATAGGGCTGATCCCATTCAATTCAATAGGATTTTTTTTTTTTTTTTCTATTGTCTTCATGAGCTTTGAACTGGACCTTCAGGCCTTGTGCTCAGCATTTGAGCAGGTTCTTCCCTGGCTCCACATCTCCTGGGAACTGTTTATTTTAAGTGAATTGTTTTTTCCATCCATCCATGCCAAGATAGATAGGAAATCCTGCATTTTAGAACATGGGAAATTCCAAAAGGAAAATCCATGTTTTGCCAAAGCACTAAGTGCAGTGTGAGTATCTACTTTTACCCTCAACTGTCCTCACTCGCTGTTCAGTGTAAAGGTAATTTTTCTAGTGTAAACTAATAGTGAAGAGCACAGGATACTGTGATTGCTACTTGTTGACAAAAAACCCTCACCAAAAAGAGAGGGTGAGTCTGACCTGGAAGCAGAACGTCGAGTCTTATGAGACTTGACCCTCAATTACTGTAAGTGACATAATGCCAGCAAAATCAGTGGAGCTGTTCATATCTGCCAGGTAAAGACCCTAAAGCATGTGAACTGGAGTTAAACTGATTGCCCAGTGTGATCCTACTGGTTTCATCCAAATCACAGTGAAATCAAGGCTCTCAGTGACTTGAACTGGCTTCAGGTCAAGCCTCATACAGCTAATTGGTCTCTCTTCCATACATCCATGCACTGTGTGATGAATGTGCTCTGCCTCTCATCAGGAAGGACAGGAAGCCCTTTTCTCCTATCAGGGAGTATCATAGTGCATTGTGGTATATGGTTTCCTGCAAAACATCTGGCATTGATCAAGGTTAGAGACAGACTAAGCTGTTGGGCTACTGCAGTATGGAAATTTCTGTATGTAAATGACATACAGGGAAAACTCTTGTAACTTGCTATCCACGGGGTAATCTGTGAGCACTGATCATTCTTGGCACTGTCCTTCAGATTTAAAACCGCTCATATAAAAATAGGCCCAAGCTCTAAGATTCTATAATCCTCCCTAGCAAGTAAAATGTATATAAAATAGATATCCCATTTCAGGATGGATAAAGCATCTGAAACTCAGATTCCCTGTGCTTTATCCTTGCTCAGAATTGAATTACAGACCTTTTCTGTCTGGAATCATCCTCTACAACTGGTGAAATCTGTTTGCTCTGGTGAAATCACTGCTATGGAAGTCATTTAAATGCCAAACACGCTTTTGGGGTCCATCATAGGCAGTGAGGAGTAGGTTGTATGTCTGCCAGATCAAGTCTTCATTGACACTCACGTGTGTGCCACTCAGATGAGTGCATATGGTTAATGAATTCAGTAGGTTTGAGCTTCTTTCTGATCTAAAGCAAGATTAGGATATTAGGACATTACCACCAGCCAGACTAAAAAAAAAAGAAAAAAAAAAGAAAAAAAGAATTAGGACAGGGTCTCAGAGGGTCTAATATAGATCATGGAGAAGGACAGCTTGTTTTGGATAGGAGGGATTTATTGCTGTGACCTTTTCTGACCAACAAGATCAATCACACTTGGAGCAGACAACAGAAAGTTCCTATTTTCCTACTCAAGAACTTTATAATCAATAGGCAAAAAAAGGATATTCCTAGGAAGGGCAAGGCCAAAGCAAGGAGCATTTCACTTGGAAATCCACTGTACTCCACTTGGTTGTCATCTCTCATGCTTGATCCAGAAGGCAAAACATCTGAAGTCATTAGATCCTCCCTGCAAAGCCTTCTTGCTCATATGACACCTAAAGAGCAAACCAAGATAAAGACAGTGTCTGGTCTCTTCTTGGACTCCCATGGCTTAAAACTCTTCAGTGTCACTTGACTGGAGAGCATGGTAACAATCTAGTGAGTGAGTGGCCAGCAAAGGATGCCAGACCAGATGCTGCCATACTGTGTTACCTGTGTTACTCCAAATGAAAGGTCATGACTTAAAAAAATGACCAAATAAGGAATGGAGGCCTGAACATTGGAAAATGGTACTGCCTGACTGGTTTGAGTTAGAATATGTCATGAAAACTCTCTTCCTGAATTTTCTGTGTCTACACAGACATCTATAGTATCTCATGTTTAATGTTAAAATGTGAGATTTTTATATGTATTAATAAAAATACCTTGAGACTATTGAGTGAAATCTGTATTGTGACATCAAGTCATCAGTTAAATGGCATTCTGAGTAAAATGTCCGAAGTGCCACCAACCCAAAGTCACTGTTGAGGGTGGGATGTAACTTCACAACTCATTTAGATACTTTTGACTCTGACTGACCTGGATAAGAAACTACATTCTTTTTCTGAGTACAGGTCCTGCAGATCCAGTGTAGGATAGGCAAATTAAGTTGAAAATCAAATATGTTTGGCTTTGGAGTCACCCACAGCTCCACATGATGAGCACCAGCAGTGACTGATGTTCATAACTGAAATGCCAGCCTGTTATGGCAATAAATGCTGTTAGCTAAACTAGTGAAAAAAATAATAACAATACTTTAGATGACTAAAAGTGGAGGAATGGCTCATCTGCCTTTATTTCATGGACCAGACCTCTTACTTTTATGCTGCTTTCTACCCATGGAGTCAATGTACTATGCAGAAAGCACAGTGGAAAAAACAATTTCTCTCTTTAATGGTCATTCAGGATTTGCACTTTCGGCTCCAGCCAAACTGCCAGTATCCATACAGTCTGTGATGAACAGAAAAGATTAAACTAAGACCTATAGACAGAAGATGTCCCTTGATGAGAAAGAGTGAAGGACACAGGACACTTTTTTTTTGCCATTTATAAAAGAGTGCAGAAATCACAGCAGAAGCAGTGGAGTCCAGTTCTGCCTATTTTTGGCTGTAGGGGCATAAGATACAAAGATTGGACTTGGTTCCACAAAATTCCAGTGATTTATGAAAAGTAAAGCTGTGCTTTGCTATAGCTAGAGGCTCTTGGAAAGTCCTGTGTACATCCTCGCTGAATATGGAGCAGAGACAAAGTGATGACAAGTCTTTCCAGGATATTTCCTTTGTCAGTGACTCCTGCACACACAGCTCCATCTGGGAGCTGTATTTTTCCCAAAGGAAGGTATTAGGCATGTGAGTTTTGGAAAGTGATCTTTTGGCATGTGCAGGTGTTGTCTTCTGTCGCATACAAATCCCAAAACAGGAGACACTGAGGTCAATGACCCTGGTCTTCTCTGGTGACCTCAGAACGGAGCCATTTTCTGAATTATGTCCTACCCAACACCCTCAGGGATGACTGTCCACGTCCTTTTCTTCCAGCACAGCAGTGTGAGAACTAGTCATGAACTTGGGCAGGGACACACTAGGCTGCTATTTCTCTTCAAAGTCATATATTTCAGAAAGGTTTTTATTTATTATCACAGTTGTCTAGAAGCTTTCCATGTGTTAGCAGAGGATGAACTTTGCATTTGCGCTCTAAACCTGACTATACTGGTCTCTAAAATCATTTGGGTTTAACTGTTCATCATGTGAGGACTACAGTTTCATATGAAAAATGCTTTTTCCTGCTCTGTTTACTTCTTCAGCTGAATTTTGTGGAAAGTTTGTCTAAAGGCCCTGTTAACTACCTCAGTATGAGCACAGACCAGCTGAAGTCTTTGGAGCTCATCCATGCTCTGTACTCTGCAATATCTCATAGATTTTCCTCTCTCAGTCACTTGTTTGAAGAGAACTGGGCCAATAAACAGAGGAGAGTAATTGTGATCCAGATATCAAGTGCTGCCTAGAAAAGAAAACTGTAGGAAGATATAGTTACTGTATTCAAATATATGAAAGGCTGCTGCAAGGAAGAAAGGAATATTGTGCTTTCTGTGTCAATAAACAGAAAGGACAAGAAGGCACAGGTTTATAATACAGAAAGAAAAATAAGTTAGACATTGAAAATGTCTAACAGTGAAAAACTGAAACTCTGGAAAGGACTGACAAGGGCAGGTGTGGAGTTTCCATTACTGGAGGTCTGGAGTGTTTCCAGACTTTGTCATAAAACCAGGTAGGAAGGGATTCAGTCTGGGAACATGGCATGAATTAGATAACCTGCCTTCCAGACTCAATTTCTATTATTCCAGGGGAAAAAAAAAAAGGTTATTTTGGACCTTTTCTATCAGACCATTTTTTGGTTTTAATCTCTCAGGGATATGGAAGATGAGTGGCTGTGAAGAATTCAGAGGAGCTTCCCCAGCTATTCTTGTCACTAACAGTAGCTATGTGAGGCAGCTTTGGAAACCTCCTCTCTAGGGATTCCTAAAGTACTCTCTGTGTTACAGATGACATATCTCACCTCCAAAAAGTGTTTTGAGGAGTAACAGAGGAATGTAATGTGATCCACGTGATCCCATCTAGATTCCACAGTGCTTTACAGAACTGGATACATGTGATTATGCCAATTGAACAAATGGGTAAACTGAGGCATTGGGTGGCCGCCTAACTCAGCTAATTTCAGATGCTCAGAGTACACAGAAATTCTAGGACTGGAACTCATGATGTTGTGGTGCACAGCACATTGTGCTCACTCATCAATGGCATTTCAAATTAGGCAGAAAAACACAGAAATGAAGTCCAAAGGCCACGGACACAGATGTGTATCTGCAGTAGGTATAAGGAGAGAGCTTCTGTTTCCAGTGTGAGACCAACTTTCACTAACCCTGATGTGATGTGTCCAGGCAGCCTAACCAACAACAATGCTTGTTTTTCAGCAGTTGAGGAGAAGTAATGTAAAACTCTTAAATAGACCAGAAAATATAAATGAACTGTTAAGCCATTTCTATGAATTCTGGGCATTTCCCACACACTGGCAGTTAAATGGGATCTTGGAAGTGATAGAAGACAGATGGAAAATCCAGGAAGGCCAATACAAGCAAATCTGATGCATTGTGTATTAAAGACATGTTACATCTGTTGATTCATCAGATCAAAGCACAGCTATAAAAGTAAAAACAAATCAACAGGGAGGTAAAATCTTAGAAATCTATTGATTTATGACTTTTCTTTGCCAGGGGAAATATGAACTGTACACAAATTTTTGAATAAATTTCGAAGCTCTGGGTAATCATTTTATAAGCCCCCTTTAAGATCTAACACTAGTGTCCTTAATTGATTTCAACGGACTGGCTGGGGCTTCTCTCTCTGTTTCCGTCAGGATGGGTGGATTGGAATTGTCATAATCAGAGAAGCCATGATGCAGAGTCAATTCTTGACTTTACTGACATTGAGTAATATCTGGCATTCAGCTTCCTTGGTCAAGACTTTTCCTGATGAATTTGTTTCACATTCCAGGTCCTTCAACTATAATTTATTTCTGTAGAAATTGAGCCTATGAGAAAACCCTTCCCTGCCTTAATAGTACCATCTTGTGCCTTGTCTATTCAAATGCACTGACAGGACAGCTATAAAAGTAAAGCCAAATCAACGTGGAAGTAACATCCTACATTATGTTAATGATTATGACTCTTACTTTCATTCCTTTGCCTGCAGGACTCTAGATTACACATAGCACTTTGGAATAAACACCACAGCTTTGGTTGATCATTTTATATACCCACAAGAACCTTAATTCCAGCATTTCTGTGGACTTTGACCAGTGGAGAGTTAGATAACCACGCCATGTCTCCATTTTACTATATAATCATATATATCCAATTTTGTAAATCACCATGGGATCTGGATGTCAGGTGGATTGTTTTCAATGTTGCACACAGATGTCACACTGCATTCCTCTAGTGCTACTCAAAGCGCTTTACAAAGGTGGAGAAGTGCCATTCCTTGTTACATACACAGTGTTATAGGATCTTTCCTGGAGAGGAGCTTTCCAAGACTGCCTGCACCTTGTCATTGTGATCAATATTGTTAATGGGGTCTAGCACATAATTAAAATAATCCTAAAGCAGATGTCTATGCCTGAGCAGATGTATCATATCTTAATCTCCTCTGACACTCTTGACTTGATCTCCATTGACCATAGAAATTTTCTAGGAGACGTAGGTACTTGCACTGTGAACATCTAAACCAGAACTGAATCTTACTTATCTTTTATTTCCCCTGCCATACCACAGACTTCCTGGGCCATCTCTGGTAAAGAATTGAGACCCCTTCCACACACTCTAATTAAGCAGCTCATTCCCACCAATTTTAATCAGCACATGGGCAGATATAATAGAACTGTGCCTCAGAGGAGTATTGGAATAACTTTCACTATGAGAGTTGAAGTACCCAAGAAGAACATCAGTTGAGAATCTATTTTGGTGTTTTCAATAGCTACTTAGGATAAGGGGGAAAGCTCTCAAAATATGGGGCCCACACACATGTAAGGATCTTTATGGAGTTCAGAGGGACCAAACAATTGACACACCAAAGGAGAGTAAAGTGGGATTTTGGCTACACAGAGAGACAACAAGGAATCTCTGTATCCCTCAACTTTAGCAAATGAATACGGCTAACAAGACAACAGGGATTCCTTCAGGGTGACTTAGATCTAAATTATTGTCTTTCTCTGAGATACCCTCTGAAAGGCACATCTCTCTTCACTGACTCAGGAAGGGCTCTCAGAGGTTAGGGTGAGTTACATCTTGGGGGTGCAGTTTGCATGACTACACTAGTAAGTGTTGGATTTTGTCTCAACCAGTAAGACTGAAATTGCAGTGACTGTACTGATAACTCTTTGCTGAACATAAAGGTAGCTAACATGATTTATTCAGATGTAGACATTACACACAGACACTTGTCAGATCAAGTGATCAATTAGTCAGATTAATCCCACCTTACATGTCTACAGTACATCTGAACAAGTCACCTCAAGAACTTTATAATCAATAGGGAGAAATCTGCAGTGTGATTCATCTAATCCTAGAGAAAATGTTTAAACAGGTCAAATGAATCATACTTGCATAGACGGGCAGGATCTCAGGTATAGGATCTGCATTCTAGCTGTCTAGAGTTGACTGGAATTAAGACCATACACATGTCTGGGGTTGTGTGTTCATTATTTACAGAAAGCAATTAACAGTCATACAGAGAATATCTGGCCTTAGAGTTCAGGGACCTCCAAACAGAAGTGAGCACAGGAATTTTGCCTAAACATGTATATCTCTGTTAGCATTGCAATGTTGGTTTCAGTTTAGAATTAGAGAGGAGGGGTTATTAAGTTCTTCTTTTATCACTGGTGAGCTGACTATTTAATCTCAATATGTAGCTGTACTGGTTGACTTGACTCCATGGTAGTAGTGTGTATGCTGCACTTAGACATCTGTAAGACAATGGGAAAATTTGTAATATTGTGGTTTTATCTCAACAGGTGATGTTTCTCCTCCTCCTTCTACTGTAGTTGGACATACCAAAACCTTAGCTAAAGTTACATTCAATCCCAGTGTGGTTGAGCAAACCAGGATTGCCCGAAATGGCATTTTGGGAGACTTCATAATTAGATATGATGTCAACAGGGAGCTGAGTATTGGGGATGTTCAGGTACTGTGCACATAACTCATCTTTTCTGTTTTATTAACTGTAATTGAGATTGTTCAATTGTCTTGCATGCTCCAAATGTCCTAGAAAATGTTTTCCCAAGTGAAGGTTACTTCTCCATCTTGTAAGAACTATCCAAAATAAAACCAGTCAGTTGGCAGCCACAAGAAAGGTTTAAAAACCACAGGTACCTACTTCATTGAAACCCCAGTGTCCACTATGAAAGGAGATATGGAGAGCTCCACTAGTCTGGATGAACAGGGGACTAGAATTAAGAGGGATACCAAGGACCACTCATATTCTCCAATGTAGACACAGACATTGAAAGCAGGATCAGGTATACCCAATCAAATATCCCGTAATGATGTATGTGGAACATTGCATCATGATCTACCTTTGATTCCTGACTTCCTTGCTCTTCCACAGATTCTTAATGGGTATTTCGTGCACTACTTCGCCCCCACAGATCTTCCTCCATTGCCAAAGAATGTTGTATTTGTGCTTGACAGCAGTGCTTCCATGGTGGGAACGAAACTGAAACAGGTGAGGTCCTTGCATTTATCATAGAATGGTTGGCTGTAAGGTTGCAGAGAGCTTGGTTCAGGCTTCATCTCACCAGATGGGTTTTTCTGAAAAATGTTTTCTATGTCTGAAGTGAAAGGAGTCACTGAAGAGACCTCGAGGTGAAATGGTTTACCTGCAATGAGAAATTATCATGTGAGTGGAATGGGATGGCAACAAGAAGTGCAGAGGACTTCACTGTAAAAAGGCCGGTGCTGTCAAAACTGAGCTAGGACACTGCAGATAGGATTGTCCTGGGCAGTTCTGTTCTGAGCAGTTTGAAGAAAGAAGGATTAAGGAGAATTCCCACCAAAGTGCATTCAGCAGACCATTGTATCCAGCTTAATAAGACAGAGAAGATACTGCTGTCTTTAAATTACCTTGGCAAAATCCTTAGCAATGTATAACTCAATGGGTTCTGTTGAAAGAAAGGTCAATTTGTCCTGTTTGAGAATCTGAGTCTTTCAGCATAAATCTCATTTTTTTTTAAGGCACAGATCTTGACATGAGCCAACGTACTAAGCTGAAGGGCACATCACCAATACTTAAAAATGATCTTTGACATGGAGGGTTCAGGCTGGTGACTAAACATTTTTGCTTCTTCAATTCTCTGAGCTGGACAGATGGAAACCATCTCCAGTTCAGGGGTCAAGTAGTAGGCTTGGAATAGCACTGTGCCTGGAGGAATATACTCTCTCTCTTAACACAGTATTATCAGTCTAAACTAGAAGCAGAGATGAATTAAGACTTCAATTCTGTTCTGAATGATTTGACACATATATCTCAGGTCTGCACTGACACTAGAGAGGTAAGTCTGGTTACCATCTTATATATCTGTGCAGAAAGGAGAGATGTCCTGGTAGGGTTAGTATTGTTTCCTTCTATTTGAAGACTTACCCCACAGGTATGAGATATGGAGAAGTTAGTTGGCTTCTCTCTGTTGGATGGCCACATCTTTATCTTCTACTTTCTTACCATGGCTGAGGTAATGATTGTGGAAAGTGACACTTTCCACATAGGCTGACACCAATATGGGGCAGTTTCAGCTTGTATGGATGGTGTGGTGTTGTGACTCTACTAGAATGACTCAAGGCTAATGGCTTGGGCTTTTATTTTGGCCAGTTAAGGAGCCATTAGTCCATTCAGGCTTCTTGGTTGCCTGTCTGGAACATGGTGATATTTCTGGAAAGTGTGGTTATTTGAGAGCTTTTTTTTTCCCCCTTGGCCAACAACAGTAGCCCAAATGTCCTTGACAAACACAGATTATGGTCATTCTCTGCCAGTTCTCTGTCTTTGAACAAGGACAGTGTGGGTATATATGCCTTTCTCTCTCTGCTAAAAACTTTACTATCTAGTTTCAGTGATGATCATAAATCCTAATTTAGAAGCTGTGTCCCCTATTGAATCAAATTCTCTCCACTGTGAGCTAAAATGGAGTATGACTTTTATGGCTCCTAATTATCTTTCTCAGTGACTGGAGTAACAAACAAGAGACTTGTTAACAAACTTACCTTGTACTGTGCTGAATGAGGTCTTGAATGAAGATGCCTTTGAATCTTTACAAATTCCTGGGGACAGAGCCTGGCTCTTGGCTTTCTGTTATCCTTCTCTGAAAAATGTTTACTTTGCCTTGCAGAATAAACAGATACTGCACAAATGCACCCAGTCCTGCATGCTGAGAGCAGACAGTCAGCCATACAGTGCTGAACCAGAGAGATTAGGAGCCTGAAGGGCCCTGGTGTGAGCTGCACAAGTAGTGCCTGGGGTCATCAGATTAACCTTGCACTATGAAAGCTTTTATTCTCCTCCTGAGCTTATTAGTGTTTCTTTTTTGTCTACTTACTAGAAACAACATGGCCAGGGATTAACCCTTGGAGGTCTACTTCATAGCCTAACCAGCTCCTACTGCTAAACTTACATGAATCTCAGGCTAATTAGCTAGAAATAGGCGCCTGTTGAGCCTGAAGTGAGAGAAATATCTACCCAGACCCTTTGTTGATGCTGTACCCAAGTTTTTGCCCTATTATATCAGATATACTCTTTTTATGGAGAACCACTGGTACATTATAGAGTTCTATGTGCAGGAAGATCTTATTTTCCTCTGATTTTAACTGCTCCAGAAAATAGAACTTCATGGAATTATGACCTAAATCATAAAACCCCACACAGATTAATCAAGAAAAGACCAAAATCTAGGACTGGCTGAATAATATGACTCTTTTTTTGTACACTAAGAAAATATGATCAGTTAAAGCCATGACCCATGTCTGCTCAGTGGCCTTTTTACCCAATTGTTGTTGTTATTAAGATGTTTGTTAAACTACAGACACGTCCCCTGGTGGCAGGATACATCTGAGCAGAGGAAATGCCTCCTTTTCTTCTTTTCTCTCAGACTCTTGCAGCTGTGGTGATCTCTGGTGGTGTGTAGAGAGTTGGGAATTCCCATGGGACTGCCTTTCCTCATTTCTCTCTACTGAGTCATATGCAAGATCAGCTAAAAATACAGTCAGTACTTGTAAAGAGTGCTCTTGCAGGTCAGCTGTGGTAATTATGACAAAGGGCAATTTTTAAGATTGTATAAGCAAGGATGAGAGACATCAGCTGTGCACCCTTTTCTATAGCAACTAGAGGAGATTTTGTACTCTTTACTCAACCGCTTTCATGAAGTTAATGGCAAAGTGACTCAAATGGGGTCAGGATTTCATGCATCCTGCAGTTCCCACAATCTAATTGTGAATCATTTCTTCTCTTCCTTTCCCAAGGTTTTCCTTTTCCTACATGAATTTAAGAGGTAATTAAGAGTTGTATAGACATAGTGCTTAGGGACATGGTTTAGTTGGGGACTTGTCAGTGTGAGGTTAATGATTGGACTCGATGATCTTAAAGGTTATTCCAACCTATGCAATTCTGTGATTCTGTGTAATTTTAATTTTTATCCCTTTCTTCCTAAGATATATCAATCTTTGAAGCAACAACATCTCCAGACCCAGTTGCAAACACATATAGTGAGACTGGCTGATCAGCTTAAATCAAATTATTAAAACTCTTGAGATATTCTCTCATAGAGGCATATATTAGCTTTGTGGGGAAGATCAGCTAATGTGCATATTCATAGAATAATATTCCTCCTGCAGTTTTCACAGCCTCTGAACTCTAGGAACATCTAGCAAACTCAACAGTGTTACAGTAGTCCACTCCCACTCAGGATCTGTGCCTCTGTGACATTCACATTCTAGCACTGGCAGGGAGGTAAAGGTCAGGAAAAGAAAACTCTTGAGCATCATGATAAAAAAATTTTCCATGTGTTCAAGGCTTTGCACGTCATTACTGCTGTCCCACTGGCAAGGAAAATACTGGTTTTGTCCTCATGAGCTTTATTCCTTCAAATACACCGTCACACCATGATTATCCCCAGCTTCACTAAACATGGTGAAAAAGGACCTTTATCAGCCTGCAATTCAATGTTATAGAACAAGCATATTCCAAACTATGAATGTGTTCACAAGAGGATGGATTTGCAGATATTTTGCAGACATGCTGTAAAATACAGTTGTTTCAACCACAGATTCATTTCACCTTATCTTTCCCACAGGCAATAAATGCCCACACACTCAGTTAAACAGTTGGCTACACCACAGGCCTGGCAACTTGTCAATGGTAGCGTGCCAGACTCTTATTTTCTTTGAGGTTAATTGTGCTAGGAGGAGCTCAACTGAAGCTGGAACCTGCTGTGTCTTTGCAAATGCTTCAGTTTATTTGCCTGCACCCATCTGAGTGACACTGTCAGTACCCTTGATCTGTGACCCACACTGAGTCCTTCTGAGGGTCTGAGTGCCTTATATACACATATCCCTAAAGCTCTGTGCCTCAGCACACAGATGGCCTCTAAGTAGTTTCAGGGTGGTGAGAAAGCAGACAAGCATCTGAACACTTCATGTTATTACTCCAAACTCCAGTGACTTCTGTTGGTTGTTGCGGAGCTGGCTGTGGGCCTGTTGACTACTAGTCCAAACAATGGCTGCTGCCCAGGACAACTACCTTAAATCACCAGGGGACTTTGGAAAAAAATGCTAATTCTAATTACAGCCTTTAGTGAGCATAAAGCTACTGTGAAGAGGAAAGATTTGTCAGCTTTTCCATTTCTACTGGAAAACAACAGCCTGAGTGAAAAAAGAACTGTATGCAACATCTCCAGCACCAACAACTTCATGCAGCTGCCTCCTAATTCGGGAAGACACAACAGCTGTGTCATCTCAGTCCTCTCTGTAGATGTGAATATGGAATATAGGAACTGCTACAGTAAACAAGACATCAGATCCATATAAACCTTAACTGCCCAGCTTCCAAGAAAAGTGCAAGTACCTGTCATGCAGCAAAATAATCTGCCTTCCCCAAACCCTAAAATTTATAAATAAGGACAGAGTAATACAGAGAAACAAACAACTCTCAGAGCAAGATGCCCTCAGATGCTCAGGACAGGGAACATCTGCTTCTGCTCTCGGGACTATCAACAACCAACATGCCCACAGCTGATTTTGTCCATTCGGAGGCAGTAGAAGCAGAGACAGAATTTCCCAGGAAGACCCCAAATAGCAAGTTCCTTAATTGAGTTCAGAGTAAATAGGATGCAAAGGCAACTGCAGAGTTTGGCATGGAAATGCTGGTGAGGCTTGAACTGAAACCCCATGAAGACACTGAGAGTTCTTCCAAGGATTTCAAGGGAACCTTTGGTGAATTCATCAAAGGAGGAATTGAAAACAGGTGCTACTGAAGTGGCAGACACAGCCCAGTGATCACCAGACAAATCCATAGTGAAAAGGAAGGGGCTAGATCAAGCTGGAACGTCAGTCCATGGACCAGGGTCATTGATGTCTATGACCAGGTGTAGCTGTGACAGAACTAGAAACAGCCACAGCATAGCTCCTGGTTTGGGACTAGGAGCTTCAATGGGCAGGAGAGTGGGTGGAGGCCCAGGTGGGGCT